ACTGACCGACTGACCGACCGACTGACCTACCGACCGACTGACCTACTGACCGACTGACCTACCGACTGACCGACCGACTGACTGACCGATTGACTGACCGATTGACTGACCGACTGACTGACCAACTGACTGACCGACTGATTGACCGACTGACTGACTGACCGACTGACGACACTAATGAAAAACGCACTGCGCATTCGTTGGGAGAAAAAACAAAATGGCGGACAATAACAATTGATCACATCTACAGGGCTATTTTTTAAATATTCGTTTTGAAATTTTACAGATATTTTTGAAYTTCTTTACATGGAATCCGACTATGTGATTATCTTCAAATTAGCAATGCTGGATGTCGACGTCGGGCAGCGAGTGGCCGCATTTTCGAAGATTATTTTTGCTTTGTATAAACAAAAGTTTTTTTGTATAAATCAGCAGTATATCACAATCGAAATTATCTTGCTATTGCGAAAAGGACAACCTTAAGTTTTCAGAATTTTTCTTACGTTTTGCGATTTTGGAAAAAAGATCAAAACACCGGCATCAAAAACATAAGTTGCCCTTAGTTACGCTACGTCATCTCCGAGCGTGCGCAGTGCGTTTTTCACCAGTGTCCCGACTGACCGACTGACCGACTGACCGACTGACCGACTGACCGACTGACCGACTGACCGACTTAAACATGGGATAAATAAAATCATACCTGCGATACTGAGCCCTCTAGAGTTCTTTTGTGAATTCCTAAACATTTCATGCAAATCCCTGCATGAAACAATGGTAAACAACGTTCTGAATTAGCTTTTTCATAAATCTAATTAGCAAAACTGAAGAATAAAGTAAATAAAGCAGTACCTTGACCGATTTCGCACAAAATCCCCCAAGTTTCAAATATTTCTGATGACAGTCGCTTTGTTACGCCTCTAACCGGTTTTTGTTTGCTGTCGTGAGCTGGATGTTTGCATGATTTGCTTGGACGCCATCCCAGCCCAAACTGATCTCTGTGGAGTGGGCATATCATGAAAGTGTCCACATCCTCTTCATTGAATAATCCCGCTCTGAGAAGACACAACTTCCATTCCGCGTTCACATCATTCGGTGAAGTCTGGAAGCAGCCTTTTAGATGATTTGAGACATTATTTGTACATGATTTTAGTGGAAGAAAAAACCTCTGTTTGTTGTTTCGCCTAGAAATCCCACAAGATTTTTTCGAATATTTTTGGAAAGAGCAAAACGCCATTGCATTATCAGAACCAAAACAAGGTTCTCATATAGTTAAAGAAATGATTGAAGGATAATTAACTATCGATCGTTACGTCGCTTTTAATGTCTCCACTGTTAATGTATGCAAATTTGGTGTGTATTTAAATACGTCTAATAAAAACACATTTGAAGCAAGAAGTCTATAAGAAGTCTATAAGATGTATCAAAGAAATCTAAGAAAATATTATAGAATCTTAAAATTTTTCAAGTTCGTCGTGATTAGATGAACAAGCTGGATCATGTAATAGTGAACCGAGTTAAAAGAAATTCCGCGCAACCAACCAGAGACAACTATTCTCACGCCTGAAATGAACAAGATATTTTGATTTCGATCCTGATCGATCGTATCAGATAAAAATATTAAAATGTTAAAGTATTTTTGA